CACACACACACACACACACACACACACACACACACACACACACACACACACTGTCATCAACAACAACAGCAGTACTAATCACCCCCCCCCTCCCAAATAAGAAAAACACCACCACCACCAACAGCAACAACAGAAAAAAGGGAGCTTTCGTGTTCTAAAGATTAAAGTGTTTGCCTCTCATTCAATAAGTCCCGGATTCGAATCCGGATAGCGACGGAAACTTTTCTTCTCTAAAATTTTCTCCTTTCACATCCTTTACTGCCCTCTAACAATATTCTATCGTCTGCTTTTGACTCCACTTTCTGCCCCCACCGCCTCACCTCCTTTGTTCCTCCTCCGGGCTCCTGACTCTTTCTGCAGCCTTTCTACTGCTACTACTTGGCTCTTTCTCAGTATGGTAGGTAAGATCTCGGATAAGGGCGAAAAATCTCGGAGGTCCCGTGTGCAAGTTGCGCACGTTAAAGATCCCTTGGTGGTCCAAAATCGATAAAAGTAGGCTTCGGCTGCTACCGGGGCAAAATTCAGAATTTCCTACCAACTGAAAAAGTTTACTGCGTCCCGCGCGTTCATATGACATTATGCAGTTCTAAGCTCAGCGCCGTAAAACACTTACCCCCAAAACAACAACAACAACAACAACACAAAAAAACAAAAAAAACACAACAAAACAAACAACAACAGCAACAAAGCAACACCCAAAACCTCCTCCAGCCCCCCAAAACCCGGAAACACCCCCCCCAAAAAAAAACCAACAACCCACCCTACAACAACCCACCCTACAACAACCCACAAAACCCCCCAGATAAAAACGACAACATAAAAAAAACCCACAACAAAAATACAACAGTGACCCACACATTCGTTGACGCACCGATATGATGTGTAAAAATCTGAGCGACAGCCAAGTCCACCGTGAACTCCTGGTCCATGTGAATCTGGCTGTCAGCCGAGCTCTTGTCGTCCGAGCTGCTCTCCTCTGAGCTGGAGCTACTGGACGACTCGGAGCTGTCCGAAGATCCCCCACTAGGGGGGTCTGGCTTGACCTTAGCGCTGCGGTTGTAGTCGCCGTCGTCGTTTGTTGGAGGAGTTTTTGGCGTCCTGTGAATGCCGGTGTTGCTGTTGTTGTCGTTGTTAACTGGAGACATTTTTGGCGTCTTGTGAATGCCGGTTTTGCTGTTGTTGTCGTCATCGTTTGTTGGAAGAGGTTTTGGCGTCCTGTGAATGCCGGGCTTGCTGCACGTGGTATGCAGGGTGGGAGGAGTTATACAATTTTATTTTCATTTTATTATAATTCTTACATTTTATCATTCTATTTATTTATTTATTTATTTATTTATTTATTTATTTATTTATTTATTCATTTATTTATTTAAGCAAAGATGTGTCTTAGCACCAACCCTTTTAGCACTTATTTTGCTGTCCTACTGCAACACGCATTTAAAGAGTCACCAGGGGATGTCTTCCTCCACTGGAGAACTGATGGGTCGCTCTTCAACCTTGCTCGACTCAAGGCCAAGACCAAGATCAACAAAACAACAGTACGAGACCTTCTCTTCACCGATGATGCTGCTCTTGTTGCTCACAGTGAATCAACCCTACAAACAATGATGGACCGCCTATCAGCAGCATGCAAGGTCTTTAGCTTGGTCATCAGTGTTAAGAAAACA